TGAACCAGTGTCCAGTCTACAAAGAGGAGGGTCAACACAGAGGAATCATTTCTTCCATGCTTCCAAGTGAAGCCAGCTATGGTCGAGCAGGACCTATGACTTATCTTCACATAGGCGGAACTGGTAAAAGAAAGGAGCCAGGGGGCTCCTCCCAAGCCCATATGACCCCTGAGGTACAGATCCTCAAACAGCCTTAAGAGTAAAAATAAATTTGTTTATCTGGACCAACTGTATGGCCTTAAACACTAACCAAAGATTAAAGGGACCAATACAATTTTTTTAAAGAGTCTATGTGTATAGCTAAAGGCTACATAACAAGCAACAACGCCAGATAGGAGATACCTTTTCTTGAGCTGTTGGCCACGGTGGCCCAAAGGATTCCCAGATAGTAATCTAGCATAGAAGTAGGAAAATACACAACAGACCCCAATCTTATATAAAGGAATATTGACAACCGATTGCTGCTAGATTAGGAACAGTTGGCCTTCTTAAAACAAAGACCCATAGATAGGCTGACTAGATTCACGAGATGGAAAGTAGTGGGGAACGGGTGGCGGTGCTGACTTCACAGTGGACAGTAGCAGGGACAACAGAGTATTAGGGCTCTAGTTTGGGGGAGGGAGGCTACGGGAGGGTGCCACCTGGGATTGAGTGTATAGTTGAATAAGATGGTTTGGGATGTTCTGTGTGATATACACACACACAAAAATCAACAAATTAAAAAAAAATTAATTGTATTTGAGGAGGAAGCCTAAAAAGTAATGTTAATTAGTAGAGGTGATAAGCATTACCATTGAAATCTACCCGATGACTTTGTAGACATACACAGGTGCCAAGGATCCGAGTGCAACCGATTATGACTAGTAATAATCAGATACATACAGATTAGAAATGCATGCATCAACATCTCAGTGTTATTAGCAAAAACAATGAGTCTGTAAGAAACAGTGTATTTTAAAATGAAATGGAGATCTTCTTTAAAGGTTAATAACTCATTCAATTCTATGTCTTACAGGGCTTATACTGAGTTCAAATTGTATAACTGTATTAATCCAACAGCAAACCTAAAAATCCTATAGCCACTTTTGAAAGAGATGTATCTTTGCTCTGGAAACTGTTACTGAGTATGTTAAAGCTGTAATGAAATGCTTCTTTTAAAAGAAAAAAGTTTTATTTATTATTTTTATTTTATGTGAATGAATGTATTTCCTGCATGTGTGTAAGTGTACGCGTGTTGTGCAATGCCCGTGGAGGTCAGAAGACGGCATCGGATCCCCTGGAACTGGAGTTACAGATGGTTGTTCGTTGCCATGTGGGCGCTGGGAATCGAACCCGGGTCCTCTGCAAGAGCAACCAATGCTCTTAACCGCTATCTCTCAAGCCCCACCAAGCCCTAAGGCATTTCCAGTGCCTAGGATTCAGCTCACATTAATGGGCTGAACCTCGGTCCTAGGAGCACCTATGGACCCTAGCTCTGGACTGTGAACACTGGGAACTGTACTACAAGATGCTATCTTGCCTTTCCTTCTGATTCATGAACGTGTGGATGCAGTTGCTTTGGAAACCAATGGAGTGATTCACCGCTATCTATAAGGTACTGCTTTCCAAGGCCTCTTCTCCCTGAATTTGAAGCCTTCGAGTTTTGCAGAGCTTTGCAGCCAGTGTCTCCTGGTGGTGTTTTCTTCTTCTCTCTCTCCCACTGACGCACTGAGGCACTGCCCACCCGACGCATTCCTGCGGAGGCTTGCCCAGGCCTATGTGATTTTAATCTTCAACTTCATGTGGAAAGAGCAATATGCTGGTGTCCAGACTTTCAAAATGAGAACAAACACATAAAGGATTACCATTAGTGACAGTATCAGAAAACTGCAACAAGGACATGAACCAAAAGGAACCTCAAATAAATTTGGCCGTGGTTAAGATTAATGTTGAAGCCAAAAAAACTCACGAGCACCACAAAAGTGGTTAGTCATATTCTTTCTCCAGAAAACTTTGTTACTTTAGGAAAACTCATTACGTTTTGAATATAACAAGATTATTAGAACAGTAATGATCCCAGTGCCGAGACCAATAGAATTGCTCTGTACCATTACTCCACAGGCTTAGCTGGCTCCCAGCTGCAGGAGGAAACCAACTCTTTCCAAGGATGATTAATGACAACTTCCTGGGGAGAGTTCCTGAATCATGCTCTACAACTTATCTGTGTAGTTGGCCTCTGCAACCTGATTCAGCCAACCGAGCAAAAAACAAAACAGGAAGAAAGGGAGGGAGAGGATGAGAAGCAAGTCCAGTTTGGTCCTCAGTTTCCCACATCCTTTAAATGAGTGTGCTGGAAATGTCCTTTAGGAACTTAGCTTTAAAATTGTGAGCTCACGTCACAACTAGAAGAAAGGAAGGAATCATTAGGTTTCTGCTCTTTCACACATTAAATTTCTTCCTTTGGAGACATTAATCTAAAAGCCCATCAGTTTTTTTATCACCATTTTTAAGTTTTAAAATATTTTAATTATTTTTATTTTATGTGTATGAGTGCATTTCTTACGTGTAAGTGCACCCGTGTCATGCAAAATGCCCTCGGAGGTCAGAAGAAAGCACTGGATCCCCTGGAACTGGAGTTACAGATGGTTGTTAGTTACCATGTGGGTGCTGAGAATTGAACCTGGGTCCTCTATAAGAGCAGTCAGTGCTCTTAACCTCTGAGCCATCCTTCTAGCGCCCTTTATCACCTTTTAAAGCACTATTTTCTCCTGAAATTTTCATAATTACACAAGGCATACCAAACCAGGTGAAGTTAACCGCCAGTCCCTCCACAAATACTCAGTATCAGTGCCCACTTGGTGATAGACTGTATTCTACACTGAAAAGAGTTTTGCTCCCCCACCCGTGTTTAGATTTTTACTGGGGCACGTTCCATAACACATCACACGCGAACACGGGTAAGGTGGCTTTCTCTGTCTCTCTCTCTTCATAAGCTCCTCCCAGAGTCTGGTCCCAACGTGCTACCTGAGTGGGGGCAAAGCCCTTTCCTGTTGGAGGAGCAGAGCGTCCATCTTCAGACCACTCAGTAAAATTTCTCTCCCCACTCAACCTCTCCGGCTCAATTTCCCCTCCAGTGTCTTCCCCTCTTTTCTCTTGGCAAACTCAAGTGCACATAGCTTTTGAGAAGCTCACTGGGTATCCGCCCATACCCAGAACCTTGTAGCAATACCAAGCAAGCAATCAAATAATTCTCTGGAAAGAGATGATAGGAAAAGACATTCCTTCCTAAATCATATCATGTGTTGATTGGCTACTTATTTGGAGACTGGCCAACTGAAATAAATCCTAACAGGTTCTTTGGCTGTTTGCTTTTGAGTTATTTTGTGCTTCTTTGATTTTTTTTTTTTTTTTTAAATTTAAGATAAGGGTATTCGGAAGTGCAAAGTTGCTTCAACGGCTTTTCCAAAGGATTCCTGGGTCTGGCAAACTCTTCAGCAGATGAACATAATTAGAGAAACGCTGGTCCAACTTCCTACCACCTGGGTCCTTTACATGAGAAACAGAGGAGTTCGGAGTTCGAACTCAGCTCAGTTCACCAGTGACCTTGAGATGAGGATGGGCAGGGTACTAGCTAGACTGCCTAACTTCCAACAGTTGATCTTTCAGAACATTAAGTCTGTTTGTTTAAATAAAAACATGAAGATGAGGCCTATACAAATTCTTTGTACTTTTATTTCTAGGAATCATATGAATTTATCTTCCAACTGAAACTTGCTCAAGCTCTTCAGTTGTAAAGTACACATGGACGATGCTCGGAAGAGTTACTATCCTTCAAACACGTTACCTTTATAGCAGTTGTCAGTGACAGAAATGTGGAGCTATGAGACATCAAAGCACCTTAGGCAGCACTTTCAGCACCTAACTTGTAGCCAGTGAGAGTCTCGGATTAAATGTCTCGACTGTGTCGCAATGGCTGCCCTGCCATCTATGAATGGCCACGTGGCCTTCTCTGGCATACTTGCCTAAACTTCAAGACTTTCATTTTTTTTGGAAGAAAGCCTGGTAAGTTTTACTCCATGGCACTTCAAAACCCAAATCAAAGACTTCCGTGGATCTGTATAATGGGCAGTGAGAACCCACTCCCCAATGGAATCACAAAGTGATTTTGGAAACGGAAATCACGGCACAGACAGGTTCGGCTCCATGTTTGCATGTGACTGGTCTAATTTAAGAATAAAAATTTATACTGACCCATTAATCTGAGTTAGATCAGGCCTGGGTCCTATGTGTTCAGCTAGATCTGTGCTTTTCCTCATGAATTTTATCTTTGAAGATCAGTCTGTTAGACTTCAGTGACAGAACGCTGGTTATTTAGGCATCTTTGGACACCTCACCTCTTAGCAAGGAACGCAAACTCTGTCTGATGGTTGCTATCAGTCCCATCCCAGAAGTCTTCTCTTTCCACTAAGTATTTTGTTTTTAACCATTGGGATGGTTACTATCAGAAAACCGGAAAGTGAGCAGTATGGGCTAGGTTGTGGAGAATCCAGAATCCTGGCACTGATGAGAGTCGGCAAATGGTGCAGTGGCTAAGGATACAGTGCGACGATCTCCCAAAAGTTAAAAATATGTGCCCTGGTGATTCAGCAATCCCACCCCAGGCTTCCCGGCTTACCCACAAAAACTAAATGAAGCCTCAAGAGTGATTTCTACATGAATGTTCCAGCAGCATTATTCATAACAGCCGTGAGGTCTGAGCAACCTGAGGTCTGTAGAGGAGACTGGATAGACAAACTGTGGATCAGACATAGGATGGGTATTAAGTCTTACAGGGGAACTCTGACATGTTACAGCATCAGCGTACCTCAAGGACACAAATAAGCCAAGCACAGAAGAACAAATACTGTATGATTCAGCCTGTGAGGTATCTAGAGCAGTCAAATGTGTATGTACAGAAAGAAAGGAGAATGGTGGCTGTGAGGTGGAAGTGGGCAGCTATTTTGTTTTTTTGAAGGAAGATGTGTTCAAAAGCACCAGGGTTTAGCAAGGACAGGAGTGGATCTTCCAGTCACAGGGAAAGGCTTTCGGCACCCTTTCCCTGCAGTATCAACGACTAGGACACAGGCAGTGCACAGTCACTTTCTTATACAGGGGAAGTTATCTTTTAAAGAGTAGTAACTTTGTAAGATGAAAAAGTTCTAAAGAGTTGGTTTCCAAACAATGTGAACACACTTAACACACTGATCTATACACTAAAAAAATGATCGAGATGCTGACTTCATCTAGAAGGGGGCATTAAGATATCTCCAAGTCTTAGCTCCAACACTTTGAGGCATCACTCCCATAAAGCCCATAAAGCTGGGCTACATAGTAAACCCTGTGTAAAGGCAAACACACACACACAGACACACACACAGTCCAGATATCAGTAGAGTCCAAATATCAGTAGCATACGCTTTTGATAAAAATGCTAAAATGATTTCCTGAAACTAATGAAATGTTCTACAAATGAAGAGATGAAAGACTGACATACTTGATTGAAGCTGCCGTGGAGAGGATGAGCCACAGCAAGCAGGTTAGGGAAATTAAACCCCACAGTTAGAGCCGGCCTCCCTGGAGATCTTAGAAGGAATTACCCAACAATGACTCAGCACTTTGACCTATAAACCAGGTCCCAATGAAGAACTCAAATGAATGTTAATAAAAGGCAAACAATAGTGCAGAAGCCTTGGACCCATAATGGCTGAGAACAGAGCTGTCCTCTTCACGATTAGATCAAGGTCGAGTGATGAAGTCATTACCGCAAGCCTTCTAATAATTCCACAGAAATCCCAAACTAAGGAAACCCTTCAGGTAAATATCAAAGCTAGTCCATGGTTATTGAATATTGGGCAAGAATTAGTACCCCACATGCAGTCAGAGAGCACAGATAACCCTCTAGAAACTCTGGCTTAGTTAGATTGTTTCTATCTGGGTTTACTTTCAGAAAAACTTGTTCTGAGCCCATTATATACCAGGTTCTCTTTAGCACCATAGGATTAAGAAAACAGACAAGAAGGCTTTCCATATTCTGGTGGGGGTAAACTATCAAACATGAAAATAGCTTAACACTTTCACATAATGGTTAAGTCTGGGTGAAGGGATAGTGATTAGCGAGAGAGGTCAGGGAAATCCACTGAGATAAAGACCAGAAGAAGTAGGGCTGGAGAGATGGGTCAGCGGTTAAAAGCACTGACTGCTCTTGCAGAGGACCTGGGATCGATTCCCACCACCCACAAGGCAACTATGAACTGTCCTTAACTCCAGTTCCAGGGGAATCCGAAGCCCTCTTCTGACCTCCACGGCATTGCACAACACGGGTGCACTCACATACATGCAGGCAACACACTCATATACATGAAAAATTAAAAAAAAAAAAAAAAAAGACCAGAAGAGGTGACAAGAGAGCTGATAACGACTCACCAGGAACCAGTCTTGTCACCACCTAGAAAAGAACATACTAGGCCAGGAAGGTGCACTGGTCCAAGGCCAGGAAGACTGGGGGTTCAGGGGCTGGAATGATACATGGCTTCACAGGTAGGCATGGTGGGGCCTGAGTACCCAGGGCACAACAGTAATACTAACAATTAACATTAATAAAAAAAAATCATTCTACTCAACTCCACTGTAGAGGAGGCAGGTTTTAAGCAGGAGAGGAATATGATATGCTTTATATTTTTAGAGATCATCATGTAGGTTGAATGGACTGTAACACAGGATGTAATAATTACCATGTTATTAATGTATATATATAATTATAGGATTTAATGAGGAACATTTATTCTCATTACATAATAGGTGAAATAAAGAGAACGTTTAGAAGGATGCTAGACTGCTCTCTTCTAAATGATGCTGACAGCTGGTCCATGGTAACAATGGACATGAAAGAAAAACTTTAATGTTCTTTGGCAGCACAGATTGACTTCCTGAAACTCCGCTACTAAGGGTGATAGAGCAAGGCAGAAAATGAAGAGTAAAGGTCACTGACCTAGGTAATGGGGTGGATAAAGAGGCCAGGTCCTGAGATAAAAAGGAATTGACTTATCAGTTACTTATTTTCTACTGATTAATTAACATGTAGTGGAGTTGTTAGCTGACTAAAAATACTTTTTATCGACTCTTCAGACCAGGCTGAGTTTCAGGTAAGATGGACCACCTAGGTAAGAAAATTCGAAAGGTTATCTCTCTCTCTCTCTCTCTCTCTCTCTCTCTCTCTCTCTCTCTCTCACACACACACACAAATGTGTGTTTGGCCAGTGGGAGGAGCCAGAATCAAAAAAGACATTTCCTTCACAGGATTTTCACAGAGAAAAGAGGTGCTGCTCTAGGGCCATCTCCTTCCCAGGGCTCTGCTATGATGGCCATGGGCCAACTAGAAAGCTGACTGGAATAGCTACTTCCTGAAGTGAAAGGTTACCAGAACAGTGATGTTATCTCAGGTGAAAACATCCAGTTAATAGTCCATAGAGGTGGAGAAAATGGCTGTACAAAGGTCAGTCCAGGAATAAGAAACTCACAAATACAAATAAGCATGCTGAGTGGGCCAGAGTCCCAGGCAGATGCTCTCTAGAGTAGCATGCTACAAACTGGGCTTTCTATCTCAACATCTCCTGCAGTCTCTAGCTCTTGAGAGGAGGTGATTAGTATAGAGATCCCTGGGCTTTGGGGGGGGGTAGTCATGTAAGCCCCTAAAATTATATACTAAAAAAACTTTTTTTGAGACAAGATCTCACTATGTAAAGCCCTGGCTGGCTGGGCCTTGCTATATAGACCAGGGTGCCCTTAAACTCACAAAAATCTGCCTTGAGCTCTGGGAACATACAAAATTTTGAATTTCATTAAACCATGGAGGTTGCAATAAATGCAGATTTCTAAGCTCTGCTCCAAGGTAATACCTTTAGGAAAGATGCTAGAAATAAGAATTTTTATGAAACATTCCAGATGTTTTGATGGAAATGGCCCACAGGTCAAGGCTTGAGAAAATACCTTTCTCTGTATTTTCTTCTGGTTTGTTTTCATAGCACCACACCAGTGAGCTACATCCCCAGATCAGCCCAACAGTTGAATCTAACTGAATCTACCCTGTCCTGAATTTAGCCTTCTTTAACTCTGTCCATCCAGTTACATAAAAAACACGGTACTGAGCAAACAGTACTGGCTTTCAAGTCAGACCATGCTGTGCACACGTCCTGAACTGTATTAGCAACCTGACCCAAGTTACTCCATTTTGCCCAGAGCAGCTATTTCAACAGTGACTTCTGTTCCACTTATGGGAAATACCAGAAAGGTTCTCAGACAACCTTGAGTCCCAAGAAAATGGCTTAACCACAAAACTGCAAAATCTGTTGATCTGGGACAGCCTGCACCTGGCTGACTGCTTGTTTTGCTTCTGTAACTTGCTTGCTCTTTCAGGTCACCGTGACATGTAGTATGAGACCACCCTATTATTCAGTGACCATCTGGTAACTGCTGATTTTGACTTCTGTTACAATGCTTGTTATGGCTAGGTAGTTGACTAATTTTAAAATTGCTGAGTTATAGGGGCTGGAGAGATGGCTCAGCAGTTAAGAACACTGGTTGCTCTTGCAGAAGACCTGGGTTCAAATCCTACACCCACATGGCAGCTAACAACTGTCCATAACACCAGTCCCAGTGGATCCAACAGCCTCTTCTGACCCCCGCGGGCATTGCACGACACGGATGCACTTACCTACATGCAGGCAATACATGCATACACATAAAATAAAAATAATAAATAAAATTTTTTTAAAAAGATTTAAAATTGCCAAGTTGTACACTTGCCTTGCTTGCCCAAGCAGTAACAGACTATTGATTGGTAAATTCAAATTCTGCTATGTTGTATAAACCTGATTGGCTCACAGATGTTCTGTTTAAACTATGCTTTCTGTAATCCTATAAAAACCCTAAACTGCTAATGTTAGGGGGCTGCTTCTACTTCCAAGATAGACAGTCTGCCGGTTATAATAAAATTTTAACTTGCTGCTTTCTACTAAAATGGTGTTGGTGATTTTGTGCAAACTCCAACCTGCAACGGCCCATGAGGAAATACTTCTGTTAGTTCTTTCATCTGCAAAACAGGGGCCTGATTGCATTTTACATGAATTGTGATATTCTGAAATATTCCTGAAAGGATGAGCTTTGCTGTATCTAAATGTATTCAGGAGTCACTTCATTTCAAAGCTAGATTCATAACACTGCCACCACGGAGTGGGGTTGAAGTGGGAAACTCCTCTGTTGCTCATTACCATCTGAACAATGTTGTTTAGGGGCCTCACAAGTCCTAGTGGGGTCTGGGCAATGGCCATGCTGGGTATGGAACCCTGGGGCTTGTGTGTGCTAGGCATGTGCACACTGAGCCACACTTCCAGCCCAATGCCCATTTAGCAATCCTCTTGTCTTAGCCTCCCAAGCACTAGCTACACAAGTGAGCCACCAGTCCTGGCCTACTGTGACAAACACAGCTGGTGAATCACAGCAAAAGCATATGCTTTTAAAAATATTTTATTATTTTTATTTTATGTGTTTGAGTGTATTACCTGAATGTATTTATGTAATTGCACCTGTATCATGCAATGTCCATGGAGGTCAGAAGAGGGTATACAAGATCCCCTGGAACTGGAGTTACAGACTGTTGTTAGCCACCATGTGGGTGCTAGGAACCAAACTTGGGTTCTCTGTAAGAGCAACCAATACCATTAAGCCATCTCGCCAACACCTAAAAGTATATTCTTTTTAGGTCGGTTGTAGTAACCTGACATATACTGTCTAGATTGGTTGCCTATTCTCAACTGGGGTGGGGTGGGGCTACTCATTTTAAATTAGGGTATTACAAGTTTTGGAATATGAGTGTTCAGGACAGAAACATTTATTAACATTTCTTATTATTGACGGCTCCTTCCTTTCCTAGAGCCTCTGATAGCAACTCAGCTCCTGTGCTGGCATGGTATCTGGGCTTTGCACTTTCTGCAGAAGGCTGGGCCAGGTGGGCTCTGAACAGCTTGCCATGACTACAGTGAACAGACCAAGCCTGAGGAAAGAGCTCCTGAGGAAATCACTGTGTGTGTCTTGACTCAGCCCTCCCCACTCCACTTGG